GGATCGTCCCTGGAGCAGGGGCCCAGACGTCCCTGGCGCGGAGCTTGGCTCCTGTCGCAGGCGCTTGGCGCCGGCTACGCGCTCGGAGGCCGCGAGTCCCAGACGGGGGAGCATACGGCAGCCGGGGGCCGGCTGCCAGGACCGACGTTTCCGGCTGCGATTTCTCGCACAGGGAGTTTTCTAGAGCGGGCCCAGCCTCCGCTGCGTGCTTGGCACGGTCCTCGCCAGCCCTCTCGAGTCGGCTTGGCCGGCTCGTCGGGCGGCTCGGGTCTCGACTCCGGCGTCGGCGCTTGGCGCCGGCGCGGGCCGTGGCGCTCGAGAAGTCAGGCTTGGCCTGTCTCCTGGTGCAGCCATTCGTTTCCAAGGCTCTCACACCGTTCGGGTCGGCTTGGCCGACTCTCTCCGGATCGAGGCTTGGCCGCGGGCGCCGGCGCTTGGCGCCGGCTCGAATCGTCGCGCTCGGCGGGCTGGGCTTGGCCCCTCTCGCGTGCGGGCATTCGTTTCCGCGTCAGGTGGTCGCGGGCATTCGTTTCCGAGGCCAAAAATCGAAGCCGCGTTTCCGGGGGCGCGAAGCGCGCGCGGGCGCGGTCGCCGCAGCGTCTTGGACGCCGGAGCGAGTGTCGGGACGGCTGCGCACGGCGGCGGCGGCCCTAGCGCTCGACGAGCGTGCTCTCCGTCGCGTCGTGGCTTGGCACGTCCGTAGCACCTCCTCCCGGTCGATCGGGGCCGCGCCGCGCGCACCGGGCGTCGTGCACTTGGTGCCGAAGCCGCCGCGAGCGTCGGTGGCCGCCGGTGCGCGGCCCTTGGGGCGCGCGCACACTTGCTTCGGGCATAGCCATAGCTTTCCTCACCAGGACTTCTCGCACTTGCGTCCGACTCTGATGTTTGACGGCGACGACCGTTGTAGGGAGAGCCGCAGTAGGGCGGAGGCGGACAGGAGCACGGCGACGGAGAGGGCACGACGACGAAGATGTAGTGCGGCTACTGCTCGTCGGCGACGCCGAAGGTCCCGCCGGTGCCGCGGGCCGCGCGGGCGTAGGCCGCGTCGCGGGCCCGCTTCGCGGCCGCGTCCCGGCCGTCACGGTCGTCGGGCCGCGGGATCGACGACGAGGCGCCGACGCCGACGGCGCTCGATCTGGACCCGCGCGAGTACGCCAAGTCGCCAGCCCGGGCCGACGTGTTCGATCTACGCCGGCCTCTGCCACACATGAGTACTAGGCTCGCCCTCACGCGGCGCGCCACGTGTTGTTGATGGCCTCGCGGCCCGGGACCCAGGTGCCGCGGCGGTCCGTGAGGGACACGCGCGGGACGAAGGCGAGCCGCCCCGCGACGACGTCCGCCGGCGCCGCGGCGCCGGCCGCGTCGACGACGGTGACCGTGAGCGTGTCCGGGGCCGTCCAGGCCGCGTCGAGCGCCGCGCCGAGCTGGCGCGCGCCGCCGAGCACGGCGGCGACGTCGCCGACGACGGACGGCGCGTCCGGCGCGCCGCGATCATCGGCCGCGAAGACCGCGGTCGCCTGCGCCGAAATCGACCGCCGGTCTGGGACGTCCCGACCCGACCGCGGGACGCTCTCGCTCGGCCCGATCGAAGGCGATGGCGCTCGTGGTCGGACGAGCGCCCCTCTCTCGTCGAGCGCGCGGCGGAGCGCGCGGGACGTCGCGTCGGGGCGCCTCGGAGCCCGGGTCGAAGGCGCGCGTCCGGCGCGGGCGGCCGCGGTCGCGTTCGCCCCCAGGCGCGCGCCGTCGACGCCGAGGAGCGGCCGCGCGCGCGGGTCGTCGTCGCCGTGGCCGCCGAAGAAGGTCACGCGCCACGCCGGCCCCGCGCCGTCGGCGCGGCCCACGGCGACGTCGCGCGCGCCGGCGACGTCGAGCGCCTCGAGCGCGGCCTTGACGGCCGCCGCGGGTGCGTCCGCGGGCAGCGCCGCGGTCCACGCGCTCCAGCGGTAGCGGAGGCGGAACGTGCCGTTCGCCGGCCCCGAGAGCGCGACGACCTGCACGGGCCCGCCGCGGCGCGCGGCGAAGCGGACCGCGAGCGTGTCGCCCGGCGCGATGGTGCCGTCGCCCGCGGCCGTCGAGAGGACGGCGGCGGCGGCCCGCGTCCCGTTCATCCACGCGATCGTGCCCGCGGG